TTTTTTGTGGTGGCAGTGAAAAGGTTGTGGCATTTTATTTGCTTTAATTCATTACATGTATTTTTAGTATTGTAACCTTTTAGAGACCAAATTAAGCTTTTGTAGCAAAGATGGTTTAGTTAATACATTGCTTTTGTTCTGTAAAAGAAGCAGTTTGAATTAGACACTGACTGTAATATTATCAAAGAGCAAGTCACAATACTTTTACTCTAAAAGAACTACTCCCTGCAACCTTATACAGTGTACAGTAGCCTCTTACTGCAGTATATGTAACATGTAATATATGGACTAAATAATGAATGAGCTAAATTTTCTTAGATTTTTTTTTTTTAATCTTTAAATCTTTAACATGATTTGAGTATCAGTAGAAATTGAATTAATGAGCCCTGCTGTAAATTAAGGGCACTGACGTACAAAGTGTTAGAAGTTGAAGTGAGAACATATCAAGTTTTATTGTGCCCTTTAGAATTATTAGAATTATAAAATTAATACTACTATCAAATCTGGGTGTTATGTATCATTTGTTTTTCATTCTCGAAACTCACTTATTTGTAAAATTGCTGTTATTTCAAGATGAGAATCTGGATTTTTATCTTTGACAGGAATGTTTACAAAGATTACAAGCAGTTGGAGTTATCCTGTGAGAGTGTAGAAGAATTAGACAGTTGGAAAGCATCCTTCCTCAGGGCTGGGGTCTATCCTGAGAGAGTATCAGATGCCACAGACAAAGTAAAGAAAAACAACATCTAGACCATATTTCCTGTGCTGTTTTTGCATGTTGTATGATTATCGTAATACTGTAATATGAGATTGTTTGAAAATTTTTAATTTCTGTTTTCATAAATTTGTCGGTGATTTTGTCATTCATTTGGTGAAAATTGGTTTGGCTGAATTTTTCAGGCTGTTTGATTTTAACAATAACTGTACTGCATCCACATAAAAGTTGCCCTGTTTTTCTTTTATTTTAGAAAGATGATTTTAGTTCTACGGACCCACAGCTAGAGAGACAGGTTGAAACTATCCGTAACCTTGTTGATTCCTACATGAAGATTGTCAATAAAACCACGCGGGACATGGTACCCAAGACCATCATGCATATGATTATTAACCAGGTAATGTGTGTGAGTGCGTGCGCATGTGTGTGTGTGTGTGTGTGTGTGTGTGTGTGTGTGTGTGTGTTAATTCTTTTCAGCTGGCTGCACAGGTAACCTCTTATACAGTAGACTTAGTAGAATTTGATATTTTCTGAAACATGTCACACATTAAATGATAGCTAAACATTCAGATGGTCACCAAGCAGAGGTTTGGACATAGATATATTATTGCTATTGTGGACATAAGTGGTATTGATATTGTTGATGTATCTATGCAGATACATAGATATATTATTGCTATTGTGGACATAAGTGGTATTGATATTGTTGGTATATCTTTGCAGATCAAGGATTTTATTGGTGGAGAGTTGCTGGCTCATCTCTACTCCAGTGTCAACCAGGTGAGAAAACAGTATAAGCTCTGTAGAAACCAATATTTTATACGTGACTCAAAAACCACATATACCTTCACAGATATGATTTCTGATCCTGTAATATCCCATGCATGTCATCTTTCTAGCAACAACTAATGGAAGAATCAGCTGAGGAAGCCCAAAAACGCGAGGAAATGCTGAAGATGTATCATGCTCTACGAGAAGCTTTGAACATCATGTCTGAAGTGTCAATGAAGACAGTGCAGACACCAACACCACCTCCTGTCAATGATGACTGGCTAAAGACGGAGGATGCACCTCCGGCAAGACCTCAGCCAGGGCTTAAACCTGCGCCGTCACCCATGAATGGGTAGGTAGCATCTGCTCAATATACTTATCCTCTCCCTCTATTTTTACTGCAGTGCTAGCTTCACCCCATGTCCCCCATCCCACTTCTTCTTGCTTAGCTTCAGCGCTCCTTCTCCAACTTGTTCTTGGACAACCCCTCTTTCTCTTTCCCTTATTGCAACCTGGAAAAGATGTAATAAGCCTGGCTCTTGGTTGTGAAGAGGTTTTAATTATCATGTGGAAAGTTTCGGGGTTTATTTATTTTCAGTTAAATTTGGTGTTAGGGTTGTTAAAGCTCATAAACCTGGAATTCATTTTGCTATTTTGTGGCATTGTTTGATTTTTGTCTTCAATTTTTTGACAGGAAATGGACACATGGATAATTCAGTTCTTCATATTTGTAATTTCCTATACAGATTACTTGATTTTTCATCTTTGTAAGATCCTTTATAAATAACTCTGTTACTCACGTCCCTGTGGCAGATTATTTAAAATTATCAAATGATAGAATTGATAAAAGAAGTATCATATCTTCAGAAGACCTCCGTCTCCAAACATGAACCGGCCAGGACGACCAGCGCCAGCCCGTGGTGCCGCCCCAGCACCACCAAGCCGGCCGGCGCCAATGGTACCCAATAGGCCAGCCCCCAGTCTGCCATCACGCCCAGCGCCAGGACAGATGCAGCAGCCTCTCATTCCATCGTAAGTATGGGGGGCTTTCTGGTCACACACACACACACACACACACACACACACACTTGCACGCACCTCACATACACGCATAAGCTTACATACATCATTTTATTTTTATGTTTTAGTATAAATTTTGTAAGACATTTTCACAGTAAGTGTTTCATTTTTTTATTGGAAGGATGAATTAATTTTTACTTCATGAAAAATGTGTTCTTAATTTAATTGGTTTATGAGAAAAGATCCATTGGTTTTTTGATTTAAAAAAGTTTATAGTGTGTTTGCCATAATTGTTGAGCATGGTTGTGTATGGTGGAAATAACATTCAGATATATATTTAATAAATTTATTTCAGTTGTTATAATTTGATATTCTGTTGTTGACTGCAGTAGTTCAGTAGTTCACTAGGGTCTGATGTGAGGAAAAGAACATTGATCAGACATTAGCTTATTCTGAGGAGTTTTGGAATAGCAAGATTTTTAAATTCAATTCTAAATGGACTTAGCCACCCTACACACCTACCAGACCATTTTCAATTTGGTTCCCCAATAACTGTTCATGTATACGTCTATACCAAGGCTCATGTCTGATTAATAATGTTACAGTGTTTTCTTGCTTTAATTGTTGATGAAATAAAAACAAAGAAAAAAATACTGCAGTGTGTGTGTGAGAGAGAGAGAGAGAGAGAGAAGTCACTTGCTTTACAACTCAAATGCAATTGTTGTTGGCTTTTTCTTTGCAAATCTTTTTAATTAAAAGTTAGGATATATACAAGAAACATGTCACTACACTTAATCAGGTATCTAAATGATTTCTTTGAACAAATGAGCTTGTTCATATGAGTGGTGAAAAAAGTTACACTGATTTAAAATAAATCAACTTGGAGCACAGGTATTACAACTTAAATTTAAGATCCCTTGTATGCCTTCTTTGGCCACTGATTGCTTTTATCAATCATTTGCAGACTTTTGTGAGTTTTTGAACATTTTGTTGTGAATTTTTACCAAGGCAAAAATGTAACAGAAGCTAGTACATAGTAACATTTTCAAAACTAGGATGAAGAAGTGATTTTATTGGTCAATATCAATTAAAAAAAAAGAATTGTCAATAAAGTCAAAATATTTGATGTGAATAAGAAATTGGTTAGGCTTTTCTTCAAAATGCAAATGTTATAAAATGATAACATATAGAGGTATTTAAACTGTTGTGAGCTGCTGATGTAACCATAAGAGAATTTTATAAACCATCAAAACCACTGCTTATCATCTGTGTGTGCTTCACTGTTGTTTTCAAGGTTACCTCCTCCTCTTATACCAGAGTAAGTAGGAATATGCATCCTCGTGGTCAGGCATGCCATGCGACCGCAGGCACAGCATGCTGTTAACTCATCCTGTCTCGTTTAGTTTAACGTGAAAACATTCTGTTGTGTGATGTTTACATGTGGAACATGCAAAGTGTGCTTGACCCAAATATCCAAATATGTAGCTTGGTCAGTGGATAAATTTTGGATTGATATATCAGACAGAGACCCATGATGTTCAATACATGAAAAAGAGCAATTACTTTCCCTTTGATAATTTTAAAGTCACTGTGGTGTAAAAAAATTATTTGGGTCATGCACACTATACATATCTGTCATAGTATAAACTTATTATTTTCATATAATTATGTTGGTTTCTAGTAGTTTATATTGTGTAAGTGAAAGTGATAAAAACCTGAATGTTAGTGTTTGAGTGTTAGTTTCTTTATTTCATTAGGTTGTATATGTACTCTTAACCAACTTGTTTTACTAATATAATTTGCAGACAGTTTGCATTATTAACTTGGATATCTCTTAGAGTGATGAAAATTATTTTTTTTATGAGGAACAAATGTGTTTTATCAACAGAAAGCTTCATATTTGATATCTGTTCTTTATCTTCATATGTATTTATCAAAAAAGTAGACTACAAAACTATAGAGTGATATAAGACCCTTTTCACATATAGCAATACATTTTTTGCACAGTGGGTTTTTCTTCTTCTTGTTCTCAGTCATAAGCCCTGTTGCACCAATTAAAAAAATCTTGTTAACTGGCTAGGCCAAATATAGAGCACTGTATTTAAAGTTAACTCTTTACATTGTCAATCACACTGGTGGTGCGTGCAGAAAATTTTATAGCGTCATGTGAAAGGGGCTTTAGATTTCAAGTAGATTTAACAAGTAGTTAAAAAGGCTGACTCTAAATGCTGCACACAATGCTCTGTATATGTACTAAACCATTGCATTGGAATGTAAATAGATATCTAACATGCTTTGTAACACTGAATGAAAGTTTCAGCTGTATTTCAAGTCACTGTAGGAGGGCATGAAATAGACAGCAAAGAAGACAGATGTACAGAACAAAAAACTGACTGTTAGATTGAAATATGTCAATACTATCTTGTTTCATGACATGGTTATATTTTCCTGGGTTAAATCACTTTAAGAGGGTTTTATAATAAAATGTTCTTACTTACATAAAGTAAAGGCACTTACATCATTAATATAACTTGCCTATGTTGTTTTTGAAGACCTGCATCCCCAATGATGGAGTAAGTACAGGACTTTGAACATTTTTAGATGTCTGCATGTTATGTGTTTGGCTCTGTGTTTTTACAATAGCAAACAAGAACCACATATCAAATATTATAAAAAAACTTTACAGATAGATGTTTTGTTTTCATGTAATTGACATGTCTTTGTTGGTGGCTGAATGATAAGATATGTCAAAAATAATAATAATAATAATAATAAGAGATTCACTGCCAGCCCTATCTCGACCTGCCTTGGAATTTATAGAGTACTTTTTTCAATCAATTTTTTTTTCTGCATGGAAATGTGTTGCTTTCACAAAATGTTCAAATTTGTGATCTGCCCAGTGCTTCATATTCTGTGTGTTTTGATGTAAAGGTATCAGGGAAAGGATATTTCTCAAGTAGAAGTGCCACTGTGACTTTGGGTTTTGCATTGTATATGTTTTATATTACAGTTGAAACATAATTTTCATATAATATCTGTGTAGATAAAATTTTAATGTATGTCATATGGAACAAACTCATCCAGCAGCATTTACGTTTCTAAAATAGCATGAGTTTACAGTGTTAGCAATTTTATACAATTTTCCTGTTGCATGTCATTTGGCTATTCTTTATTACTGCAAAGGCAACTGGCATTTTTAATTACAATAATTTAAGCACATTCTGTTCTGTCTTATTTATAAGATTTGATATAATATTAGAAAGTAATGTTCTAGACAGTTTTCTACCTTTTTAATTAAAAGAGAACTGTAATCAATAATATTGTATTTTGTAAAACTTATGCAAATTAATGTTATAGAGAAATTCCCATTGCTAAGAAATGAAAATTATTGTTTTTCTTCTATTCTAAAATTGGGAAATTCTTAATAATGTGATTCTATCAAAAATTTATTATTTTGGTCTTCTCCAGTCGTCCCGGCAGTTTCCCAGGTGTACCACCCAGAATTCCTGATCGCCCATCAGTACCTGCCAGACCACAGTAACTATGGTAACCATATCCACGACAACAGTTACCATTGGAAACCAAGAGGAGTCCATATATATCCATCATCAAAAATTAGTCACATATAAAAGATTAAAAGACTTGAGCCACTGTACTGTGTAGAGAAGTTACTTGTGATAGCAGGATGACAAAATTAACGAAAGAAATGCTAATATTTAAGCTGCAGAGAAGGCAAGTACCAGGAATCGGCACACCAGTGTGTGGAGAGAAAGGATGCCAAGAAGTACCAAGTATATATACCTTCAGACAGGGAAGTCGAGTCCATGCATTCCAAAGATTTTCACAGAAACATGTGCATGGACAGGAGGCCTCTTTCTGTACAAATAAATCTTTAATATCAGTGGAGTATAACTGTGGAGTGTAACCTACAAACAACTGGTTCTGCTGTATTTATTACTATTATTGGTATTCAAGAGTGGGATAAGGGTTATAAACTATGTGAAGGAAATCGTGTTTTAGCTCAATAGAAATGTGCTTATACTGATAATTTCTGAATGTGAAATAGAAATTTGGTTGGTATTTAATTTACATTTCGATGGTTACTGCACTGTTTTATAGCACCAGACACATCATGTTGTGCTCCTGAGCCCTGGAAATGATGTGTGCCCTTTTCAGATCCTCATACGTATGTAGAGATATTACAAGACGTTGTGTGGAGATCTTTCAGGAAGCTGTCAGACATACGGTGTCCAACTCTGGGTAGACATTACCCCTGGATGTCATATAGCTCTCTCAGGAATGCATGCATGCAGCTACAGTGATGATGTCGTACCACACCCGGAATATTTGGTCATAATGTGCAAGTGATGAATTAAGTTTCATTCAATCTTTTGTTACAAGGTTTATGAAATATTTGGCAATCCTGCAGAAATTTAATGTGGGGCATAGAAAGTAAAACTTTTCCTTGTCATCTTTGGGAATTTGGTGTTTAGAAATTTTATGATTTGTTTCATGTCAGTGCTGTAGATTGGAGTTTGGAGATTTTTTATAAAGGTGAAAAAAGAAAACATGCTGATAATGATTGAATATAAGACATTCTGCTGCTAAGCAACAGTCCTTATTCCCCTGATAAAAACTTTCCCTTTCAAAAAACATTTCTGTTTCTTAATTCTTCTTTCTTTAAAAATAAATAGATCAAATACTAAAAATTTTCAAGAGATCTTAATGTTTATGTTGTCTAAAGACTGGTATGTAAATATGTGTTCCTGTGCTCTCTGTTTTGAAGCCTCACTGTGGTAGGCAGATGTGGAGCATTAGAAATAATGAATGTCAACATGTTATAATGGTACGCAGATCATGTGCCAATATATATATTATATATACTTGTACATATGAATGTCAGAAAAATAAGTGATTATTTATAGGAGAATAGGGTGGTATAATTTTTGCTTCGGTTATGTAGTGATGTTTGTGGACAATAAATGTTACCGTGTCATTTACAAATATTGCCGACCTAAATGATGCATGGAGATTATACACTGCTTGCTGAAATCAGTCATGTGCAAAGAATATTATTTTATTTCTGTCGCTCAAGAAAAGGTAGCTTCTTTAAATTTTAGTTTTATTCAAGCTATTTGTCCATTTTCAGTCTGAAAATAAAAATAAGAGATCAATGATAAGAGATAGTAATAGGTTAAAGATCAATGAGACAAAAAAAAAACTCATATTTATAGGAAATTTTGTTTGAAAAGTATATTTTAAGTCATATAAATGTTCCAATAAGTTCAGCGGCTTGAAAGCACCATGATAGTAAAACTAGTGTAGAAAAATAACATCTTAGCTGTGGCAAAATAAAGTGGAAGTATGTGATCCTATGAAACTAAATTATTCAGAATTTGATAGAAATGAAGTTTTTGTGGAATTTTAGGAGACACATTGAAGTTGCCCGTTTTGAAGGTGTCTTGTGTTTTGCCTCGTCACATTGTTGAAATGAAATTTATAAAATAGCGATTTTGTATAGGAGACGAGTAGAACTTGGTAACAAATAATGTATAGGAGACGAGTAGAACTTGGTAACAAATAATGATGCAGATCTTAGACTTCTGTAGAATTATGTGAATAAAAATATTAACTTTAAGAACCATTTTCACTTTTTTATCCACTTTTATTATCTGACAGTTTCCAGCCAAATGATTTGAAAAAAGTTATTTTCACTATAAACTGATGGACCATCTTTCAGCACAAATATATCACAAATGTTTTTGAAAGAATTTTTTATTGATGAAATAAATATACAACATTGCTTCTGTACAGTTATATATGTATAATACCAGCTAATGCAATCTACACAGGACCTCTGTCAGTATCTCAACTACAGCACACCGCAGGGTTTGATGCTGAAGCTTCATGGAGACAGAAACCCACTGTAGCAGTGCCCAGGATGTCTAGTTCTCTTCTTACTTTGATGAAAATCTGAAATTTTTAATGTTCCTGATCTGTTTCTTGATATTTTAAGTTTATACTGTAATACTGCCATATGTACTGAAAACTAACACAATATCCATGCAACTTTTACATCTACAACCAGGTGGCAATAACTGATCAAGTAATTTAACTTTCACATACATAATTGTGGTCCAATACAAAGAATTTACACTACAGTTTATTTTTTAAAACATAACAAATAACAATATTAATAATTTCTTTTTTCCCCCTAATAAATTATCTAGGGTCAAAACATTCAACAGAACAAAAAAAATCAATGTTGTAAGTATCTCATATCAATAAAAGATGATAAGTGATGTATCATTCACAAAATTGACATATAACAAGTAACAAAGAGATCTGCTTAGACAATGAGTCACTGCACTGTACATTACATCAGCTTTATAGTCATGATTATTTAAAAAATATCCTGAGACTGCATAGAAAGAAATCTGTTCAGTAAAATATGCCATTGCTAACAACAAGGCATGACACAGTCTATTGTCCATGTCAAGTGTGTTCTCACCATGTACAGCAATGTAAAATTCAACTGAACAAGAATTTATTTCCTTAGGCGCTCATGGAAGAATTCCTCCACAGAGTCTGTGTTCCACTTCTCAATGCTGAGTGTCTCCTGCACCACGCGGTTATCATCCAACAGTTTGATGACAGGATCAGCCCCCCTCACATACTTCACCCTTAACCCAGGGAACTGTGAGGGACGGTCACTCTTCACAAAAGCTGAAATATGATTTGAAAACACCATTATGCTGGTTATTCAACCAAACTAACAGGAATGAGATCTTTTTTTTTTACAATCCACTGATTTCTGACTTTTTGGAGCTAAAATGTCATTGGTCTAGGCAGCCCACTGGAGCCCATGCCACATTTCCTGACTTCTCACCAAATGGCAGTTTCATCCTTGTACAAATAATAAACGAAAATCACTCAGTAATAGCTGAAACATGTTGAAAATCAATATGCAGTTTCTATACACTAAAGACAAACCGAAACTAAACTGGGGTAAAATTAACTTTAACCCCAAGCTAAGGTGTGTTTATTTCTTTTCAACACATAAACACAAAATTTAATAAACATTCCACTATTCTACAATTAAACAATCCACTGACCTTGCACCTGTGGATATCTCCCCAATTTTCATTGACACACCTGTAGCTCAGCAAATGGAAACAGCTAGAATGAAATGTATAAATAAATAATTTAATTTAAGGACAGGTGGTCAAAAAAGTTACATGTGGCATCAAGCCTTGATATCTTTTAAATATCAAAATCAAAAAATTTGGAATCCAAGTTTAAGGTAACAGAAATATGGGTGTGTCACTGTGGACAGGTGTCTGGACACTTACCTGTTCATTTTTCTCCTCGTCCTTGTCTTCCTGGCAGCACTGATGACAGTCCTCACTGAGTTTTTGTAGCTCAAAGTTTGCTAACTCATTACAAGTGGAGCAGAAGAGATTAGTAGTGAAGCCAAGCTCTCGACATTGCTCTGAACTCAGCTTCTCACCACTTGTTAAATATATCTGAAAGATCAAAACATTTGTTTTTTAATATATATATATATATATATATATATATATATATATATATATATATATATATATATATAATATAGAATATCATCAGCATTTGATTTTGAAGCTTAGTAATTAAAAATGTATCTTCCAGTCAAAAGGTGAACCGAAGGCCATTAAATAAATATCATCTCTATCATTATACTATCTTTCTTGTAAAAATATTACTATCAAGATTCTTTCTTGTAAAAATATGAGCTATCATTTTTCATAATCTCTATCTTCCTTTAAGTTAAATGACACGCGTCACTCAACCAGCACAATATCGAAATCTTCTCTTAAGCAAGTGTATACTGGTAGAATCCCCTCAGATTGGTAAATATATGCGTTCTCTCATTGAAAAATATGTTTTGTAATTTTTCATATACCTAACTTTAGGAATACAAACCAAAAATACAAAAGAGGACAGCAGACCACGGAGGTCCGCCATCTTCCTATTTTTCGCTTCTGCGGAGCTACTCTTCTCTCATTGGTCAAAATATCTGTCCGCTCCTGAGTCTGTGAAAATTCACTGCGCAGTTAAGATTAAACTAC